CAGGATGGTCTCGATCTCCTGACCTCATGATCGGCCCGCCTTGGCCTCCCAAAGTGCTGGAATTACAGGCGTGAGCCACCGCGCCCGGCCGAGATATGGTCTTAATCATAGGAGATAACTAGTTACAAAACAGCCAGTTAAACTGAACTTAAGGTTCAAGTAATGGACAGACAGACCTGGTTCACACCCTACTTCCACCAGTGAATTAGTTGAGTGTCCCAGGAAAATGTGCTTGACGTCACTGAGACTAAAGAGTATCTTTAAAGTGAGGTTAATAATAATTTGCAGGATTATTTGAGTATTATATATAACACTTAAAAAACATATGTAAAGTCCCTGATACTTAATGGCACTCACAAATAGTAGCTCTTATTATCATCATCATGACTCCTAATACTATAATAATATATTTCTCAGTATGACATTTATTTTAATATGACAGTCAGGGTACCAATGTGTAGTACATTCCACAGGGCATAGATGTGAATGAACACTCAAGATGTAATTTCCTCTCCATTGAGTTCTATTATGTAAACAGTGCTAATAATAGAGTAGAACAGATTTTGTATTACAAAATAATAGAACAGTAAATGATAGAACAAGGAAAAAGTGCTAAGTACACAGTGAATTCATTAACACATTTTCCAGCCAAATGTGTAGATATACATATATATACCTATATTTCAGCTATTTTAAGCATTGAGATAGCTACTGAATGAAACAGCACATGAAACGCAATGTATAAAATATACTTCAAACTTCTTGTATAAAATGGAAATAAAACATTTATGCTGTATGTTATATACAGGAAAAGATGTGTTCACTGAATAATCAGTTTTATTACCTGAGTTGGAGCCACTAATTCCAACTCTGAAGCCGACTCAGAGTTGAGGGCGCTTTTTCCACCACTCAGTTCTGGTTGAGATCTGTGCTCTGAGGACCTATAAGGGATGCATTAAGGAAATTAAATGTACATCTAGAAACAAAATTAAGCTATAAATCCAGTCAAGAAACCGAGTTAATTTGGATCATTGAAAGCCATGATGTCAAAGCTCTCATCAAAATTCTGATGATAAAGATAACTTTCATGTATTTCTATTATAATGGCCACTTTCAGAATGTAAGAGGCTACAATGTGCTAGGTGTTATTATCTTTGATTAAAAATTCAGTTCAATTATGGGCAAAAAGTCAATAAATGCAGTACCATTTTTGTTACAGAAAATTCTGTTTCATAAAAAAATTATGTTTTTTTGTTTTTGTTTTTGGTGGGGGGAAGAACTTCCCAACAAGTGTCTCAGGAGAGATTTTATCTTTATACAGAATTTGAAATCTCATGATAAATGGAGATGTGGGAGGGCAGTAGGCGATGGACGCTGGATACTGCCCTTTAGGAAGCTTCAAAAATATGGTACAACTCAGGTGGTCAGATTTTCTCATAAGCTTCCATGCACTGTTCTTAATTATTTGATTATCTGATAGTGGATGATTGAGCAAACCAAAAAAGCTACCTTATAACTGCAAAAATTTAACTATTATTTAATATATTGAATATTCTCATGTATATACACATATACACCTAGTTTTACTAATCAGCACAGTTACACATTCAGAACATTATTACCAATGTTGAATTACAAATCTCTCAAAACACTTATTGACTGAGTTGAATTAATTTTTGACAGTTGAGATGAAATAATTCGAATTGGTAGAAGCCACCGTAATTGGTATTGTTATATAGGGGTTACATGTGATGCCAAGTATTTGGATTGACTTAACTCATTGGCTATTTCAGTGCCACTCATAAAGTTGATAAATAAATGGCCATTTTCTGATATCAAAATACCTTACCATAAGAGCTCTTTTGATCCAGTTCTAGATGAGCATGATTTTCTCTCTGCCATTGGATGTCCCTTGGTATTTCGATCGCCATGAAACTTAACATCGTCCCATTTTTCCAGTTGTGTTTGAATGTCTAGTAAGTACAGAGGAAGCGGGTGAGGCAGGTTGGGGGAGCATGTGGTGCAGAGAGAAAAAGAGAGCTTAATTAAGATTGAAAAATCTTATCAAAGTGAGCTTCATTCAACCAATGTCCCAAGCCCCAAGATCAACCTTTATCTTTTCAATGTTGCATAAAAATTAAAACTTGTACAGCTAAATAGAAATCTCCTATTAAGATAAATTGCATTGCTTTTACAGTTAATGCAATCAAGTTGTTTGACCTGAATTTATTTCTGAAGCTGTGTACATTCTGAATCTTGTATATGAGCCTGTGCAATCCAGTGTAGAATGTACATCTGGAGCACTACCCTGTCAGTCTCTGGCTAAAGCGGGGTTTGGGGGCATTGCTGGCATGATTCCAGAAAGAAATTCTGTTTAAAGAGATGAGCTTCATTGTTAAAAGGAGGTGGGGATAAATCAGAACACTTTCACAGCTTTTGAATAAAGCATGTAATTTTTCACCAAAGGAGGGAATTTATAATGGGGGAGAGAGAGAAAGGAGGCAATGAGGACAGCCAAGGGAATCCTGGAACCATTTTATCCCTGTGGTTTAGTTCTTATAGATAAAAAAAATCTGGCTAGATTCTCTCTCATTACAGGTGTGTGGCTGTGAATAAACCACTGAAACAATCTCGGGGTTCAGTTTTTTAGTGTATAAAAAGATTGGGCCAGGTGGCAGGGGCTCACGCCTGTAATCCCAGCACATTGGGAGGCAGAGGCAGGTGGATCACCTGAGGTCAGGAGTTCGAGACCAGCCTGACCAACATGGTGAAACCCTTTTTCTACTAAATACAAAAAAAAATGAATGGGGTGTGGTGGTGCATGCCTGTAATCCCAGCTACTTGGGAGGTTGAAGCAGGGGAATTCCTTGATCCTGGGAGGCAGAGGTTGCAGTGGGCTCAGATTGTGCCACTGCACTCCAGCCTGGGCAACAAAGCAAAACTCTGTCTGAAAAAAGAGATCAGTTTGCAGATGATGTTCTCTAAGGTCTTTTTTCCCCTTCTTTTTAAAAACTCTGGTTAAAAATGCATAACAAATTGACCATTTAAACCATATGTTAGTGTACAATTCAGTAGCATTAGTACATTCACACTGTTGTGTAACCATCACCACTATTCATCTCCAGAATTTCTCATCATTTCAAACTGAAACTCTACTCATTAAACATGAACTTTTCATTCCCCCAACAAAAACCTGGTAACTTTTATTCTACTTTCTGTCTGTATGAATTTGACTGTTGTGGGTACCTCGTACAAGTGGAATCCTCCAATCCAGGTTGATTATTCCTTATGCAAAATGCTTGGGACCAGGAGTGTTTCAAATTTGGGATTTTTTTTCTTGGTTTTTGGAATATTTGCATATGTCATAATGAGATATCTTGGGGCTGGGACTCAAATTTAAACACGAAATTCAATTATGTTTCATACACACCTTACACACATAGCTTGAAGGTAATTTTATAAAGTATTTTAAATAATCTTATCCATAAAACAAAGTTCTGACTGTGACTTATCACATGAAGTCAGGTGTGGAGTTTTCCACTTACAGATTTTGGAGGATTTCAGATTTTCGAATTAGGGATGCTCAACCTGTATTTGTCCTTTTGTGCCTGGTTTACTTCACCTAGCACAATATCTTCAAGGTTCATCCATGTTGTAGCATGTAAGTTATTCCTTTCCAAGGCAGAATAAGTTCATTGTGTGTATATATTACATTTTGTTTATCCATTCATCTCATGATACGTTTCAGTTGTTTTCACCTTTTTACTATTGTGAATAACACTGCTATTCTTTTTTTTTTTTTTTTTTTTGAGACGGAGTTTTGCTCTTGTTGCCCAGGCTGGAGTGCAGTGGCGCGATCTCGACTCACTGCAACCTCCGCCTCCCGGGTTCAAGCAATTCTCCTGCCTCAGCCTCCCTAGTAGCTGGGATTACAGGAATGTGCCAACATGCCTAGCTAATTTTTCTTTGTATTTTTAGTAGACACAGGGTTTCTCTGTGTTGGTCAGGCTGGTCTCGCGCTCCTGACCTCAGGTGATCCACCCGCCTCAGCCTCCCAAAGTGCTGGGATTACAGGCATGAGCCGCTGCGCCTGGCCAACACTGCTATTCTTAAAGGTGCTTTTAAACTAAATACTTTTACAACTTCTTCATAGGACATTTTCTCAGAAGCAGAGAAATAAGTGTTCATCATCTGCATGCTTATTGTGTTATATCATAATATATTAATATATTCTATTTTTTAAGGCAAGGTCTCACTCTGCTGCCCAGGCTGAACTGCTGTGGTGCAGTCACAGCTCACTGTAGCCTCAATCTCTTGGGCTTAAGCAATCCTCCTGCCTCAGCCTCCCAGGTAGCTGGAACTACAGGCTTATGCCACTATGCCAGGCTAACTTTTAAAATTTTGTAGAGATGGGATCTCACTGTGTTGTCCAAGTTGGTCTCAAACTCCTGGCCTCAAGCAGTCCTCCTGCCTCGGCCTCCCAAAGTGCTGGAATTACAGATATGAGCCACTGCACCCAATCAATATATTAATATATTTTTATCTAAATCTATACATGTTATTAACTTATTTGTAAAACTGAATAAACCTAGATGGTGAGGAAATAGTAGAGATAGTTATAAAATTTCCCTCCAAAGACAGACCTCAAAGAGGGATGGCAGGGGAGAGGAGTTCCTGTGTATGCCACTAATTTGAGCAATGGCGTGGTTCTCTTTCCTTTCTTTACAGTCTATCCCTGGAAGAGCTCATCTACACCCATGGTTCCAATATCCATTCATACACAAGCTTCTGACTTACAAATCTCCATTTCCTACTCAGCTCTTTTTCTCCAGTTCTAGACCTATATACTTAACAGCCTAATGGAGGTATCCACAGAGAAGTCCCATAGTTTCCACAAATATAGCAGGTTCAAAGCTGAACTCAATAGTTCACTCCTGCTCCTCTTCCATCTTCTGTCATGGAGCTTGGCACATTCTACATGTCCCCATTGCTCACATATACGTATTATCTGTTTCTAAGTCTTGTTTTAATATTTTTTGGAACCTGTCTCTCTCTTTCTCATTATCCCCCTTGTCACTGTTGGATCTCTGGACTAGTCTCATTGCCTCTATTCCTTTCTCCGTAAATCCACCAGAGAAGGATTTTTCTAAAATAGAAACCATTGCTGTCATTCCTCTTAGTAGAACTCTTCGAACATCATCCCTCCTTCCCCAATCTTAAGGGCATGACATCCAAGGATTCCTATGATCTCGCCACAAGTGATTTTCAGACTTTTTCTCTCATTATTCTATCCTTGAGTACTACTGAAATATGTATATTTACTTAAAAAGACATCTTGCCGTGTTTATCTATTTGTGTGTGAATCCCTTTCCTTTCCGCACCAGGGATACCCTGCACTGTTCTCCCCATCTTTCTCCTGATCTATCTTGAATCTGGCAAATTCCTACGCACTCCTCAAACCTCAGCTCACGTAGTACCTCTTGTAAGACACCTTCTCCCACTGGGTAGGGCAATGGCATGATGAGGAGGCTCATGTAGTAACTGATCTGGGTTTTCTTTCATTGCTACATATAGTTAATATTTTATTATAATCATTTAATCATTTTTCTATCTCCCCACTAGACTGTAAATTTGCTAAGGCACAGAGCTTATATTATTTATCTTTGTATTCCTAGCACCTAGTATGTGCTGGGAATATGGTAGATACTCAGAGAAATGTCTGCTGAACAAATGAATAAATTAATTCATGACCATTTAACATGTACATATCATAGTAATAAGTGATTTCACATATGTATTCCATTTATTCTTCATAGCCTTATGGATAAGCTATGATCTCCTTATGAATGTATATACAAAATTCACCTCCCCACACATATACCTACACACACAGCAGTCAGTCACAGCCAGGGAAGATTCATGGGCCTCTTGGCTTTCTAAAATACCTGTCACTGTTCTTTTTCTTGAGAAAGGAGAGCTTAATATGTCTGGTTCCAGGAGCTAAGAACTAAGCCATCCTTTCTCAGAGGAGGTGGAATATAGTGGAAAACATATGGGCTTTGAAGTTACCTAGAGCTAGGCTCAACTTTCAGCTCTTCCTCTTATAAACTGTGAGATCTTGGGCAAATTGCTTAAATTTTGAAACTTGGTTCCTTGCATGTTTCAAAGAGTTGTGATAATTTAATGAGATAATATATGTAAGTAATGTACTGTGGTTCCTAGGCATTGTAATCCACCATCAAATGGTAGCTGTTATTATTGTATTGCACGTATTCCCAAACACACTTGTTACATACTGTTTGATCTGGCTGCCCCGGGCCTTGCATTAGAGTTGGTTACTCAGAAGTTCCCTCTTTCTTGTCCTAGACTGAGTGCTCCTAAAGAGCAAGATGCACATTTTACCTTTATTTGTAACTTTAGTGCCTAGCCTGGTGCCCAGCACCTATCAATCACATCATATTTGTGGGTCGAATAAATACATGAATCAACCAGTTATGCAAAGTTGAGCTCCCCAATTGCTATACAAAGTTCAAGCCCAAAAGAAGCTATGTCCTGTCCAGTTTCCACCATGGACTATGCCTTTTCTACTCCTTTGTTCACTGTTCAATGCCATTGGTGGAACTTTCCTCTTGTATCCACACCAGCAGAGCAAGGTTGAGCATCCACAGCCACAAGCGATTGCCTTACCTAGGTCTAAGGATGAAGTCTCCGGGACTCTGAGAGGCTGGCCTCTCTGCTCAGCATCTGTGCTGATGAGGTCAGATCCATCGGCCTTTTTCTTGAGGGATGAAGTTTTTGATGAGGGCTCTGACTTCTTGGCTTTGGTTTGAGTTTGAGAGACTGGTTCACTCAGGTCAAGGAGATCTAAGCCAGTGGTCAGTACTATCAGAAATGGAAGAGGTTAAGATAAGCCCATTTACTACTCTGAAATTATTTTTTTTAAATAGGTTTCAGTTGGGTACAGAAAGATTTTATGTTTGTAGGATAGATTAGAATCAAGTTAGTTCACCATTGATTTGTAGAGACAGCTTGTTAGACTGGGATATTTGTTGCATGTTATTCTTATATTTGGCATGGCACAAACTGGTAAGAAAGGACTTAGACCAGCCTCAGCAATGATGAAGCTTTGAATGAAATTAAAATGATGAAACTGAATCTGAGTTCAGATGCTATTTACTTTATTGCTTTGCTTTATTTATACTGAAGGTTATTTTAGATTACAGTTTCCCAGAGAGGAGTCAATCTATCATATTCAGAGATTTAGTGAAGTTTTTGAATGTCTTTGTATTTTAATTTTAAACAATAAAGTATATGGGGTATAAAGCAAGGCTGTTAATCACCTTTTATTTAATTAAGCAGTTCAATCAGAAAATGGCATCCTGTTTGGGTTCACCCAAGAGAGGTATTTTATAATCCATAGTTGATGAATAGGTACACATGTTAATGCCTTTGCTGTTTAGTATGCAAATTTAAATTTCAATGTAACTAACTATAAAACTGTTACACTTTTACTTCTTAGCAGGTTGATTACATTGCATTAAATACTCTAATGAAAGCAGAAATAATAAGTTGTTCAAATGCAAATCAGGCAAATGAGAATTCAAAAAAGATGTTTTATAACCTTTGCTTCTTCTTTCTTTTACAGTGCACATAACCAGAGTTTGACTAGCTCATTGTGAGAAATAGAAAATTCAAATTCGAGAAGGTCCCTACAGCTCTACCTCTCCACCAGTCCCTGCTGTTTCACTGGCCCTGGCACCACACTGGAGAGACTAGCTTCTGAGCAAGACTGGTGGCTTCCTCGCAAGGAATCTCTTCACCCAGCTCACTTAGAAAAGCCACAGAAAGACAAAGAAACTACTTGCATTAACCCTTTGTGGCAGTCTACAACAATGACTGCAGCATTCCTCTGTAATCTCCAAGCTTTTCCTCTAGGTGGGGAATGGATTTTTGCTGATGTCTCAATACTCTTCTGTCTGCTTCTCCCTTGTACTGAAGGCAGGGGCCAGGCTCCACTGAACTCACAACCCGGATTTCTTTAGTAGTGCATGGGCTTCATGAGCTAACCATTCCTATGGGATCTTTAGGATCGTGTGTCAAACTTCACTCGTAATAGTCTCGTTTTCTGATTCCAATTCCAAGTCACAGTGGTTGGATGTTGTTGGTGAAGTGGAAACATCTGGCTCTGTCATGGCTTAGCTGTGTAACTTGAAGTAAGTTTCTTGCCCTCTCTGAGTTTCAGTTTCCTCATTTGAAAATGAGGAATTAATTGTCTTTTAGGGATAAGATGAAGATTAAATGATCTAATGTATGTAAAGTGCCAGGCATACAATAGGTACTCAATAAATGTGATTTCTATTCTTTTATAGCCAATTCATGATGTTTTTCTATCCTTTTTGTTGTTGTTGATGATGTTCTCCTATTTTCACTGTTCCTTTTTATTTGAGACAAGAATCAGATCCATATACTGACAGAAAGAGAAAATGCTACTGGGAGTAAAACTGAAGATGAGACAAAGATATGCGTTCTACAGAGGATCCTATGAAGCAAATTTATCATAAAGTGGCCTGAAAGTGTCAGCTTATCTCAACAGAATCTTCCTGAGGCAATGGGAACCACTTCCCAATGCTAAGATGCCCTGAGATACGAGGGATGTTTTGTGACTAGGAAGTACTTGAACGCGGAGGGAAAGAAGTGGCATTCAGAACTAAGCTGCTTGACTTTATGTCTACAATGTAAGCATGGCAGACAGCCAAAACAGGCTAGAATGCCTCACACTTTATATCCACTGAACATTCAAATAGAAATTGCCAGAACACTATTACGCTGGCAAGGTGTCTAGGCCCAATGTGATGTCCTTATAACAGAGGAAAGGAAATTGATGACAGAATATAGAATGCCACATATATCTTTACTAATTGTACAAACAATTAAGAGTTAGTCACTTGCTCCTAGACTTTCAGAAGCAAATTATAAAATTGTCTACTTGAACATAGGAAGTACATTTGTTATGGAGTAGCAGCTGGCAGGTACTAATTGAATTCTATATCTTCTTCTCACATTCAGAACAAGTGAATTACTAAAAGGGTGAACTGCGAATTCAAACTTGGCTCAGTAAGGTTCTTTCCCCTTCCAAAGTGTCCTGGGCACTTCCTATATTTGTTCTGAGCTCTTTGTCCCTTTGTTTTTTTCCTTGCAAATGTGAAACAAATGCTTGGCACACACAAAAGGCCTAATTGGTTACCCAGCTGCTATGAAGGAGGTGACTTGGAGGTCGAATGGCCAGCTTTGAAGCTGGGAAAGTCCCTGCAGAGTACGTTTTCAAAAGGAGAGAAGAGTGGGTGCAGCCTTTCACTCTCTGGAGAAAGACAAATCACATTTTAGCATGTGCGTGTCCTTTAGTTAAGATTTAAAAGAAAGAATCTTATTGCTCCACACAGGCTTCAAAGACAGCTCTGGTATGGAAGGTGGTGTCTGCTCTGCTGATTTTTTAAATCCTATTTTAAAGGTTCTTCAGGCACATGAAGGTTTGGGTTTCAGTATCTGTGTGCTTAAATTAAGAGCACCAACCGGTGAGGTGTGCTGGCTCACGTTTGTAATCCCAGTGTTTTGGGAGGCTGAGGCAGGAGGATTGCTTGAAGCCAGGAGTTTGAGACCAGCCCAGGCAATATATTCAGTCACTATAAAACAATTAAAAAAATAAAAAAAAAAACTAGCCAGGAGTGATGGCCCTCACCTGTAGTCTCAGCTACTCGGGAGACTAGGTGGGAGGCCTGCGTGAGCTCAGAAGTTTGAGCCAGCCCGGGTGGCAGAGTAAGACCCTGTCTCTAAAAAAAAGGAGCACAAAGGATAATCTCCTCTTACAGTGAATGTGAAAAGTGTGTGTGTGTGTGTGCACCTGTGTGTATGCGTGTGTTAGTGTAGATCTAATAAAATACCTTCTGGGTGTAATCTTATTGTCACATATGCAGACTTTTCTCATGGACCACATGTCAGTCACCACTCACAGCTTTATAGACTGTGGGATCCCATTGCCCAGAGGATGTCATTGACTTCCCTTCCTTTTGCTGTAGCAGGGAGATTTCCAGCTCAGTTGCTTCTGAGCAGGCTATGTTTTGCCAGTCACCCTTGTAGCACTTTGTCCTGTCTTCTTCACTTTAGTTCAGCTAATCTATTTTGGTGTCTTGATGTTCCATGCATATTGCGCATAAAATAAGGCAGAACAGGACAGTGGTTAAGACTACCTGAGTTTGACTGAGTGCAGTGGCTCATGCCTGTAATCCCAGCACTTTGGGAGGTTGAGGCAGGTGGATCATCTGAGGTCGGGAGTTCAAGGCCAGCCTGACCAACATGGAGAAACTCCATATCTACTAAAAATACAAAATTAGCTGGGCGTGTTGGTGCACGCCTGTAATCCCAGCTACTTGGGAGGCTGAGGCAGGAGAATCGCTTGACCCTGGGAGGCAGAGGTTGCGGTGAGCCAAGATTGTGCCATTGCACTCCAGCCTGGGCAACAAGAGCAAAACTCAGTCTCAAAAAAAAAAAAAAAAAAAAAGTCTCTCTGAACCTGAACTTCTTCTGCCCACCTAAAATAAGGATAAAACTACTTTATAAAGTATTGGATGAAGTGCTTATCTAAAGCTCTTGGAACAGCGCTATAAGCATAGTCATGATGCAAATAAATATTTATTGCTACTAGAAGACTCTACTGAAAGCATTCATGCTTGACGCAAACTGTAGATATATGAGGTTGGAAATGATTACAAAAACTATTTATTGAAAATGTATAATATGGTAAGTGCTTATGAATGTTTCCTTGTTTAGTCTACATAACATTCCTGTGAAAAAGGTATTCTAATTTTACATATGAAAAACTTGAGGCTTGGCAATATTAAGTAACTTGTCCAAAGTCACACAGCTGATTTGGTAGAAAAACGTCCCCCTCTAATATGCCCACGTTCTAATCCCCAGAATCTGTAAATATGTTACCTTGACATGTCACATGGCAAAAGGGACTTTGCAGATGTAATTAAGTTAAGGATTTGGAGACTGAAAGATTAATCTGGATGATCCCTGTGGGCCCAATGTAATCACAAGAGTTCTTATAAAATGCAGTTAGGGGGTCAGAGCCAGAGAAGGAGATACGAGGATGGAGACCAATGTGTGAGAGAGAGAGCTGCTGGTTTTGAAGATGGAGCAAGGGTCATAAGCCACCAAATTGTAGGTGCCCTCTAGAAGCTGGAAAAAGCAAGGAAATGAATTCTGTCCTGCAGCCTCTAGAAGTAATGTAGCTCTGTTGACATCTTGATTTTAAGATAATAAATTTGTGTTGTTTTAAGCCATTAGATTTGTGGTAATTGTTACAGTGACAATAGAAAACTAATATAACTGGTACATCAGTGTTCATACCAGGATTCAAATACAGGATACAGGTCTCATCTCTCCACAGCCTGTGTTCTTAAACAGTCCTCTCTAGACTTTATCTTAACCTTAAGGCAGTGTGCTGACTTTATTGATAAGGCTTTGATTAATTTGTTTGTTGAGCTTCTAATTATTTGGCAGTTTGGATAGTCCGAGGAATGATTTAAATAGTTGGCACTCTCAAAAACTTTTGTTTTTCAGATAATCTAATTGAACTGGGTGGAAAAAAATTATAATTTAGAACTTCTATGAGGCAAAAGACATGTTCTTTTAGGTTTCATAGAGAAAAACAGTCATGGACTGACCTCCGGAAAAGGTAAATATTTCCTAAATTTTTTAAATTTTGTATTGATTTATAGAAAAGCTAGATTTCTTAGGAATTAAAAAATATATAATATTTTTGCCTTGAGATATACTCTTAATATTAAAAACACGTTATCAAACAAGAGCCTTTCTTCAGGATAAAAATCTGTATGAATCAGGTGCACTGAATAATGAAGGTGAGAAAAAAAAATCCCTGGTCTCAGAACACTATTTTACCAGACCCCCTACGTTGGAGAGTATTATGGATTGAGTGGTCTATGAAGAAGTCCTAATACCCAGTATTCAGAATATTACCTTATTTGAAAATAGGTTCATTCGAGATACAATTAAACATGAGGTCATATTAGAATAGGGTGGGCCCCTACTTTAACTGGACTGATGTCCTTATAAAAAGGGGAAATTGGGGCCAGGCACGGTGGCTCATGCCTATAATTCCAGCACTTTGGGAGGCCAAGGTGGGCGGATCATGAGGTCAGGAGATGGAGACCATCCTGGCTAACACGGTGAAACCCTGTCTCTATTAAAAATTCAAAAAATTAGCTGGGCGTGGTGGCATGTGCCTGTAGTCCCAGCCACTCGGGAAGCTGAGGCAGGAAAATCGCTTGAACCCAGGAGGCGGAGTTTGCAGTGAGCCGAGATCGTGCCACTGCACTCCAGCCTGAGTGACAGAGCGAGACTCTGCCTGAAAAAAAAAAGGGGGGGGAAATTTGGACACAGAGACAGACATGCACACTGGGAGGCACACACACAGAGAAAACACTACATGAATATTGGAGTTATGCTGCCATAAACCAAGGCAGTACCAGAAGTTAGAAGAGAGGCCTGGAATAGATCCTTACTAAGCACATTCATGTGGTGCGTGGCCAAGCTGAAAGCATGATTTTGGGCTTCCAGCCCTAAGAACTGAGATGGTAAATTTCCGTTGTTGAATCAACTCAGTGGGTGGTACTTTGTCACAGCAGCCCTAGGACTAATACAGAGGGCAACATTGTAGGTATTGGGTTTGCAAGAAATTATACCTTCTTTTGATTTTTTTTCTCCAATATTTCACAGGTCTCTCTTTTATATGTGAGAACAATCAAGCTGAAAAGAAGCTTTTGAATCAAATCTTATATTGCTCTCTTAGGGTGGATCCTTTCTAAGTGACTTAGTTTTCCCATCAGTGAGAATTGGAGCATAAAGAGCAAGTTCACAGTGCATACAATTCTCATGGATTCACCTGCAATTAGACATACAAGGTTCTCTGTATTTTCCTGGGATAGTTCTTGAGTTTTGAAGGGGCCAGCTCCAGTTTCATGGATCAGAGGAATGAATCTCATCTGATAGTATGTGAACTTGTCTAATTTCTTACCTAGAATTTGCCAAGTACCATTTAATTTCTTGATTATTGAAAGTGATAGCTGAATTTAGAAAATGATTACTGTGGTGTGATATAAAAAAGTCAATGCAATTGAAAATGAAAGTGTAGGGAGTACACACTGTTCTCACCTAAAATCTAACAGACATTTTTACACCAGTTAGAGTTTACATGGTGTTAAGCTTTTTCATGGATTGCTTCCTTTATCTTTCCAATGAACTTATGAGATGTAGATCTTACTATTATCAAACAAATGAAGAAACTGAGGCTTAGTTAAGCAACATGCCCCTGGATACAGAGCCGGGGTTGGAATTCATGGAGTTTGAACCCAGAAACTGTAAAATATGACCTCACATAAGGAGCCTCTCTATCTCATGCTAGTTACTCTTCTTGTAATTTTTGGTGTTTTGGAAAAATTACGATTTCCTTCTCCCGTGATTTTATTCACTTAGAAATATAATGAAAATATGCAAGCCAACAGCAAACTGAGGCCAAGATGACAAAATGGAACAAATATAACAAGATAGTATGTGATTATCCTTTCCTTTTTCCATTAAATTCTGCTCTGCACATCCAACATAACCTTTGTTCTTTGATTCTGAACATCATTTTTTCATTCTTATTTGAATGACATGACTTTGAATGTGAATGCTGACCGAATGAAATCAGTGCAGAAAGACTGCTTCTACAAGGGAAGTGTAATTTATGCCAGTGGCATCCTGTACTAACTCAATGGATTAATACTTATTGAGTGCCTATTCCTGTATGTGACAGGCACTGAGCAGGGGATGGCTTACTATTTGAGAATGTTTAATTCCAGGAGAACGTTCAAATAGACTGTTGTAACGGGGAGCAAGTAACACACTTGCATGACAGAAAATGAAACTGGCCCTGTACTATCCCAAAGCTGCAGGATATTTTGTCATTTAAATCCACTTGAAAAGATTGCCACATTTTTATTTACTGGACTTCTGTTATATAAAATATTTCCAGAAATAATTGGACCATCAGCCAGAACTTGAAAAATCTTACTCTGAAATAGGTGTTTTTGTTTTAAAGATTTTCTAGTGTGATGCAACTTTAGATATAAATATGTAAATATGAAAATATACATGAAAATATGATTCATTGCTAATAGTGGTATACTTATGTTCAGCAAAATTCGTTGGGTGAGATACATTGCAATTTCTGTGATTTATTGGTTTACGCTAAATAGTATACATTCTAAAGTTTCATTTGGTTGCAAACATTATTTCCTCACTTAAAATATATTATGGAAAAAATGTGCACTTTACTATAGTTAAAATTAACTCTAGTTGAGGAACAGTTAAAAGTGAAAGAATTACCAGCTGTATTGGATGTTACTGGCCTTGCTATTGCTTCCGATTTGGTTTCACAGAGAAAGTCATCGATGGAGGGACTCAGGAGGGGTCTGCTTTCTTGTTGCTCATTCACCAGCTGAGAACAAATGAACAGAGGTGTCAAAGAGCTTTGTTAAACTGCAGAATCAGATGAATTAAAATGCAGCCTTGCAACAAAATGAGAATAGCAAACCTACCAAAAATAAATAAATACATAAATAAATAATGGGATAGGGGCAAGAAAGAAAAAAAATATCAAAAGGTGGGGAATGAGCCTTTTAGCACTGTCAACATATTTTTGATGCAGCCAACTTCAATGTCTAAAGCTCAAGCCTTTCCCCCTGCTCCTGAAATAGAGTTATTCTCTAATTTCAGTATATAGAAAATGACACGTATTGAATCATAGTTGCTAAGGGCCAATCCCATTCCTCACCTGGACAAAAGCTCCTACTGAGACCTGGAACATTGGCTTCAGACTCAAAGATGACATGTTCTGGTTAGCACTGCTGAGTCAGTGTTTATGTGGGGAGTGCAAACACACGGACCAGGGTAGGTGGATAAATGCCTGCCTCATCTCCCTCTCTTAAAAAGCTCAGGTCACCTACAAAAACACCCTCTACATTTCCTTGGAATGCTTTTGTATTATATAACAAATATTATTTTGGGAGAGTAGAAAATATTGTTATATTAACTGTGTAGGTATCTAGTAGATGCGTTTGTAAAATCTATTTGTAAAATAGATCTCGGTAGACTCAATCTTGTTTTCCCATTAACTTATATTCTAATTTCAGCAATCTTTCAGTTTGATTTTTTAATGGATCTCTAATTATCAGTGGCAGCCACTATTTACTTTCACTTATTCTGCATCTCTTTGAATCCCGTCTTGCTTGAGTATGTTTCTATGGTTAAGAGAGAAAACACACTTTTGATACTCAGGTGGTTCATTCCTAAATTAACTGTTTTTTTTTGTTGTTGTTTGTTTTTTTGAGGGAGGGGGGTTTATATTTGCCTTTCTTAAAATAGGCATAATCATCTAGTTTTTTGCTTAAGAAAAAAATACACCTCATAATCTTTAGGTTTTTTTTTTTTTTTTTTTTTTTTTAATAGGAACAGGATGTCTGTCTGTCACCTAGGCTGGAGTGCAGTGGCATGATCATAACTCACTGCATCCTCAAACTCCTGGACTCAAGCAATCCTCCCATCTCAGTTTCCCAAATAGCTGTGACTACAGGTGTGCACCACTATGCCCAGCTAATTTTTAAAAATTTAAAATTTATTTTTGTAGAGACGAGGTCTCACCATCTTGCCTAGGCTGGTCTTGAACTCCTGGGTTCAAGCAATTCTTCGTCTCGACCTCCTAAAGTGTTGAGATTATAGGTGTGAGCCACTGTGCCTGGCCAATCTCTAGATTTTTTAAGAACTTGTTACGTTGCATTTTAAGAGGCATAAAATAACAAATGGAGTGCTTTGGAGTATTACCAAATCAAAATATTTTATATTACTCTACTCACTTTCACTACATTGTTTCTTTGGCACAGTGTCAATAGTATCACAGTTTAGAGCTGATGGAAGGTGGCAAGGGACCTGAGTAATGGTAACTATGGAGAGAAAGTGCATTTCTTTTATTTCTGAAAGGGCAATATGGAAGCACTTAGTGGTCATTTGGAGACTGGAAGCCAAGAGACACATTTAGTTCTCATAGGCATGCTATTTAAACATGGATAAATCTCATTTAAACATGTGTAAATCTCAGACGTCCATTAGAGTTTAAGATTTCGATATAGAGTTGGTAATTAGATTTTTATACATATTAATTTGTTATTGAGGGATGGGCTTTGAGAACGCTTTTCTTCTTCTAACGTTCAAGTTACAGTGATAGATCTTTCTTCATTTATTGTAAGCTTTGGTATTACTATGTATAAAACCTCGCAGATTTTGCTAGGAATCAAATCCCAGGCCTCTTTTGGTGTTAATCTTTTATTTTAGGATGCTGCTTTGACCCATGAGTGAAACTGTGAGCCCCAGTGTTTTTTATTTTTTCTGAATTTGAACATTCCTGGGTATCACCCATTCTATTTATATTAAAATGTTTTTAAATGTTGAGGGACTGTAAGCCGCCTATGTTTCTGGAATAAAATATATTTGAATTTTTGTAAATGCTATGGTGTATTTGAGTTTAGGAATGATTTGTTATACTTTCTGGCATAAAAGTCAATTTTATTATCTGGAAATGTAGTTGAAAGCAGTGGTATAGAATATAATATACTAGAAAATGATGAAATAGCTAAACATCAGTGATCCTGTGAGCTCATCTAAAAATATGATTAGTGTCCCAGAATCTGTATCTCATTTGTAGTTAGTGCATGTCCAAACTGTACATATGTAACAGTTTCCAAAGGACCTGTACATTGATACATATTTCCTGGTAGGACTTGCTCTTTTAACCATATGTGCTTAATGTAATGAACTCAGCTAGTGTAATCAACACAGTGATGAGGTCCTACCTTCACAAACAATGCCCACTTCCACACTGTGGCCTTCTCATGACTATCAAGTGCGATCTGAATTCCACTGTGTTATATGCATTCACAGAGGATGAAGGTTACCATCAAATATGGCACCACCCTATACTCATAGAAGTTATTGTAATAGGGTTGCATTTACCAAGCAGTGCATTCTGATGACTGTCCTCAGAGTCTAGGTCTTATTTACCCATTGGCTAAAGTGTATAAAGTGCAAAGACTAAACTCAACCGTGACTTTCAAAGTATGAATATGTATGGACAATGTCATAACTATCACTTTGATATTCATTATTTCTTTGAAAAAAGTTTAATTTCATTGACAGATGGCTAAGAATAACTGAGTTCTCTTATTCATAATTTTAAGAAATACCAACTGTTATGTAGATAAGTATGAGCTATATTCCATGGAAAATCCCCTGTACACTTTCTTTACTTTGTATACAATTAAATGCCTTTGTAAAAACAAATAAACAAACAAAAAACAACTAAGAATTTATCCCTACACAGTACACAGTTCTGTGTACATATATGTGTGGAATAGTGAAATAGACCTACATTACCTATAGCTTTAGAAGACCAGGGTGTTAGATTTCTGCAGATATTTTTAGCTACAAATGCATACAAACTATAGTCTAAATTTGATAACGTAATTCTAAAAGTAAAATTTTTGTTAACATCTAAATGGAAAGCAAAGGAAAAGGCATAATTCAATGAGAGCCCTGTCCTTTTGGGCCTGTCTGCTTTATCAAAGGTAGTAATTAATTAAGTTATTTTTTGGAGTCTGTCTCTTCATTCAGACTTTAGACAAATTTTCTGGAGAAAGCACACTAGCACTCTCAGATTTACTCAGCGTACAAATAAAGGGATACCAAAAGAGAGGCTGTTCTGAGAGACTTCAGGAAGCCCAGGACAAAGGCGTGGCATCTCCAGTCTTCTGCACCTCTGCCTCAGGAAGTCAGAGTCTCTTCCACACCTACTGTCTTGTTTCTGATCATAGTTCACACCTGGACTGATGGAATTGTTATAACTGCCCAACTTCTACAATTAAGCTACTCCTGTGGCTTTCTTCCACAAATTCAAATCAAAGAAGGAGTAACAAACTACCTTCTGAGTCAGTGGTTTTCAAACTGGAGCACAATTTAGCTATTGAGAAATGCTCGGGCTGAAGTGGGTGGATAATAGCAGGGCTCAAGGGTGAAAGGCCAGATTACAGATAGCATGGAAAGGTAACTGAAACTGAACAGAACATTTTTTGGTTTTAATGGGAGATATGGAAGATGAAACAGGAGATATTTTGAAGATATGGAAATATTTCCTTATAAGCTCTGAAGCCAGAGACTATCTTTCTTACGTTTATATCCTCACAACTTCAAATAGAATGTCTACATCTAAAAGGGGTTCAATAAATGGCTATTAAATGAGAAAGTGACTTTGTAGAAACTGAAAATGTAAAAATACCTATCTAAAACCGTCCAATTTTAAATTGCATCTTCAGTTGCAGGAATTTAGGAATGATTATTTTAGTCATAGGAAGTCCCATTTTATTTATATTTGCATAGATAAGAATAGCTTTTTCCATGCTCTCCTCTTCATTTTGAACAAGTTTATGATATTTCCTTTGGTGACTTGAGAACGAATGAATCTTTTAGATCATAAAATAAAATTTCAAACTGAACTGAATCCCCCAAATAGTCCCTTTAAGCTTAATTCCCAAATTGTATAACATTCATTCTTTCTTTATGCATAAGATAAGGTTTCTTGACTTTCTTTTAGTTTGAAAATAACTTTATGAACTTCTCTGATTTTGTCCTTTGGGTATGTTGATGTAGGTAAGCCAAAAGTTTCTAATTAAAAAAAAAAAAACTGAGGTGAAGTGATTGCAATTTTCGTCTAGTCAGATTATCATAGCTGAGTTAAAATGACCCACTTCATTAGTTGCTAAGGCCTTTGTCTCAGTTTTTTCACATTTTAAATTTTCATTTCTTATCCTCCCCTTTCCTCTTCTCAATATTTGGATCAGTTCAAAGAACCTTCTATAATGGTGACAGATTCTTATTTTTCTTTCAGGATCCCATTCAACTGGCACATTATCTAGGAACCTTCTTTAGTGCCAGCCGGTGAGTGCCTCCTTACAGCACTTGCACGCTCCCATGTCTTGCCCAGTGTCATAATCTTAGTTTTATCTGTCCCTCTCCAACTGCCAAGTAGACTGTGACTTGCTTTAGAGTAGAGATCTCATCCAAGCATTTTTTTTTTGTATTCCATGGTAGCAGTTTAAATCAATGTTGACTGATTTTATACAGTCTAACTGAATGGCAAATTGTACAAAAGAATTATTACATGGGTGTCCTCAATTTCATACTGGATTTGGCCAATTCACAGAGAGGTCAGTGATCCTCAGAAATGTTTGTCAATTTCTTTGCTGGTTTTAAACCACAAATTTGAGCCCATTTTCTCCCACTCATATCTTTTATAAATGTTTAGGGACCTACTGATACCTAAGGAAACATTTCCAAATACAAAGTTTCTACCAAGAATGTTAAGGCTTCTACGAAGAAGTCAAAGTGCCAAGA